GGCATTTCCTCACTGGTGAAGTAGGGAGGGGCCCGACCCTCCCCAGCCCCACCACGCCGTGGTTTCCTCTTTGCCTGTGCATTGAGCTCCTTTGAGTCCCAGACAGAATCTTTTCTGGCCTAGCATGCATCGCTCCTCAAATGGCTGTGGAGCTTACGCTCAGCATAGTAAACATCACCGCCCTCCCCAGCCCTGACCGACTGACAGTCCACTCAGCTCTCAGCGGCGGCCAGCTGGATTCCCAGGACACGAGGGCTTCTAGGGCTCCTCCTGGAAGCCAGCCGGCTGTCCCATTGCTCCATCCATTTTCCTTAGAGCAGGGGCCACACCCAGGCTGTCATCCTATGACCTGAGGGTCATAGGATGGCAAGTCAGGGATTCTGAGCCACCACTGTCCCCCTCTGATCCTCTGTCCACCACAGGCCACGCCTGGCGTGGCGCCCCAGCTGCGCTCTTGTTGAAGGCTACCTCGCCTGCGTCATACAGGAAGCCCCCTGAACCTCTAGATGGCCTCCAGGCTCAGCATCAAGGCTGCCAAGCCCTCCTAGGTACCCTTCAACCGGACCGTCTCTTCCGGGGGCTGGAAAGGAAGTTTCCTGGGTATTTTTATAGATGAGAAAGTCCAGGTATTGTTCACTGGTGGTGGTGCATCCCCTCCCCACGCATGAGTCCACCCCCAGGGCCAGTAACTCCCCAGCAAGGGTTCCCAGAACCCCTGGCCCAGCGCCAGCTCCATTTGGCACTGGCACCTTCCCCAGGAAGCCCGCCAGCCTTGAGCCCCTTTATGCAGCCAAAGGGGCTCGAAACAGGATTTCTGGCACGAACACCAGAGCCAGTCACTTCGGAGCCAACACTTGAGCTATGGCTGTCCTGGTCCCGAGCTCTCAAGGGGCCGCTCTGGGAGGCCTGGGAGGCCTGGCTTCATGGGGGCGGGGGGTTCAGAATCAGTACCTGTCCACCCCTACGCCTCCGTAGTGCCTCGTGCTGCACCATTCTGGCCTCTCCTAAAGGAAATCAACTTCCTCGCAGTAAACAAAACCACCCATTCTCACCTTTACCTGTATCTTTTCTGTCCTCTTTCCTAAATGTCTTTTCATGGTCCTTTGGACTCTGGGTAGGAGCCAGAAGTGGCACAGTGCCAGACCAGGAGACTAAGGTGGACGTGGCGTCGTGCATTTATGAGCTGCCTTTCCTGGGGGTGACCCTTGGCAGCAGCACCCGCTGTATTTTCGATCACACCTCGTAAGACACCTGGGAAAGAGGGCTCCAGAGCTGCTGCAGAAAGCAGGCAGAGCCGGGGATGGCTACACAGGGCCTGGCAGAGGGGCAGTGCCTGGGTGTAGGCCCTGGTGGCAGTGGGGTGGACCCTGCTTTCAGCCAGCACTTTCTCTCTGGCCTCCCCCGTTGTGTGGTGCAGACGGTGTGGTGTGCGCCTCCCCCATGTCTGTCCCTGTGTTCTCTCTGCAGTGACATCTGCCATGCTCTCCTCCTGACTGGCGAACTCCAGACAAGCAGGAGTCTCTTGTATGCTACTGCTTGCTTCTCTCTCTCTCTCTCCTTACCAAAAAAAAAAAAAAAAAAATACAGAAGATAAAACACCCCACCGGAAGTCCTCAGATCCAGCCAGGTCATCAAACAGGATCTGCGGACCCTCTAGGGTTGTGAGAACAGAGAAAGAACATTAGGTTTAAAAAAAAAAAAAGTAAAGAACTCTGAACAAGGGTGGGCATCAGCTCCCGGCATTGCAGCCACCTGGTTTGCTAATAGCAAAAGGCGGGCCTTGCTGAGGTAAGATGTTCATTAGAAGAGAAATCGGATGTAGAATTTGGGGGAACACTCTGTGCTGTATCAATAATTTTTCTATAAAGCTAAAACTCTTCCAAAATAAAAAGCATGAGAAAACACACCTACTCCCCAGCATCCTCGGGCCCTCCCCGCCTATGGCCCATCTTTGACCAGCGTCTCTGCGGTGGCCTCACGAGTCTCAGTAAAGTGGTCACCGATCAAACACAAGCTCGCCCAACAGTAAGAAACCCTCACTCTCGCTCCATCTTCTCTGCCCTTGCTGTATCACCACATGTTGATTGGCTCCCATCTCTCCCCAAGCCCCAGTTTACCCACCTGGAGCTAACAAGCCCCCCAAGTTGCTGCGTGAAGACAGAGACAGTATCTGGCAGGATCCCCAGCTCCTGAGCCAGGCCAGGCATGTAGCAGACACCAAATCCTTGGGTGTGTTGAATGAACACACTATGTCATGGTTTGGCATGTGGTTGGGCCAACACAACTCAGTTTTATTCCTCAGTGCAGCAGCCTCAGGAGGCAGAGCCTGAGGGGTGGTTAGAGGCTGGGGGTACTGGGTTGGTGGCTTTCTCAGGAGACTAGGTTAGATCTCGTGACTCTGGATTAAGTCTGGTTGGAAGGAATTAGGTCTTGTAAAGCCAGATGGCGGTGACTAAGGTTACTATAAAACAAGACAGCTGTGTGGACTCAGTCCCTTCTGCCTGTGGCCAAGCCCCTTCCCCTCTTCACTGTGGATTGATGCCACATGTGGCCCCCGAAGGGACTCTTTCTCAATTTCTCTTCTCTCATTCTTGGGACAAATACCCGACATCCAAAATGAAGGAAGGAAAGGTTGATTTAGCTCATAGGTAGTGGAGGTTTCAGTTCATACTCAGCTGGCTCCAAGGCAGAGTGACACATGGCAGAGGGCAGCAGTTCACGGCGGCGGAAATCAGCAAAGAGCAAAGGGAGGGGCAGGGGTCATGCAGTTCACAGGCCTCTCTCCCTCCTTACACTGTAATGCATATTGCCCGCCACAGTGCGGGATTATGGGTAGTGTTCACACCTATAATCCCAGCACTGGATCATGAATTAATCACAAACTCCGGAAGCAACCCCATGACCGCAGAAGGCGTTAGGGGGACACCTGCACACAAACCGTAACAGGCTCCGTGTGGATCAGCGTCAAGCTTGTGGGTCTCCAGACCTGTGAGCTAACTAAACAGCCTTCTTTTCTAAATTAGCCAGCCTTGAACATGGTCACTACAGCACCAGAAAATGGACCTAGGTCACCAGACAGCTAAAGGAGTGTTGCTCTGATGTTTAATTGTGAGTAGAAACTTCTGGAATCCCCCATCCCAGACTCTGCTTTGAAGAGCCATTTTCCCTGGGCCAGGCCCTGCAAGTAGCCCAGCTGAGGTTCCCTTGGCTTCTGCTGCTGAGGTGGATGGTGGGTCTCTGTGTCTTTGTAGGATCTCCTGCCCCCAAGCTCAGGGAAAGAGAGCAGGTCCAAAATGCCTGGCCCCAGCTAGGATCCCCTGGCAGTAGACTACAAGGAAGACAGGAGTCAGAAGTAAGTCACCAAAATAAAGTCCTCTCTTGCACTGGGCATGGTGGCACACACCTGAAATCCCAGCTACTGGGGACACTGAGGTAGGAGGCTTTTGAGTCCAAGGCCGGCCTGAGTAATTTAGCTAAGTCCTGTCTCAAAATGACATTTGACAGGGCTGAGGATGCAGTGCAGTGGTACAGTGTTTGCCTGGCATATGGGGGGCCCTAGGTCCAATCCCCAGCACAGATGGTGGGAGGGGAAAGGGGAGGAG